GCATTATGACTGCGTGATTTCATGGCTGAAGATTTATTTATTTTTTCTCTAATTTTGTTTTGATTCAAACAATTTATATCAGATACCAATCAATAAATCCATATTTTATTTTACATGTTTTCTAATTGTTTATTTAAATTCATTTTAACTTTCGAGTTAAAGACTATTGACATCTATATTTGGATCTGCAGTACTAAGCAATGCAATAAACATTTGACATGTAAATATTGAAGGCGGAATATAGTGATTTTGTTCAAATCTAATTAATTAACCATAAACTGCAAACTGATATCATCTTTGCCACGACTCTATGTCAAACGTTGCTGATTGTTATTTTGGCTGCCAAACAGATGGAGATTTCAGGGAGTTTGTAGCAAAGGTGCCTAGGGAGTGTAGGATCACAATCATATCAGATTCTTGTCACAGTGGTTGGTTGATTAGAATAGAAAAGGAGCAAATAGGTGATAGCACACAAGAAGGAGAACTAATTTCATCTTCAGGCTTCATAATTCCTTGGATAATTCCTTGCAGCACACAAGAAGGATGTCAAAACCATTGGATGCATAATTTGTCTTCAGCATATCTTTAGCATATCAATTCCTTTGGTATGAATGTTTAACACATTGTAAGATCACAGTCTCAACTCTATACATGTAAATCAATACCCTTCCATGGTAGTATTACATGCTTATTTTCTGTTATTTTACATAACAGAAAATTTACATAATCATGCAAATTCAAGATTTGCAAAATAAGTCTAAGAATTTTCTTTTGAAAACAACAAATCCATTTGTAGCCATTGAAAGCAATGTGTTCATGTTATGTATTTTACAATGAATTCTAATATATTGTCACAAGCTCTATAACTTTTGGAAGTAAAGTTTGCTTCTAAGTTTGCGTCGTAAAGATGTTAGTTTTCTTCTATGATAGTAGATTGATTATTGTTAATTTATCCCACATTACTCTTACTTTTTATCGAGAAATTAGAACCATCATTTGGATTTCAAAAGAAATTAAATAGATTGCATCAAGAAGCTAGACTGTAAATTTTTTATCTGGCCATACTACAAGACTAGCCTACTGTATGCACTCTACTATAACTGACTATTACACTTTGCTTTGCATTAACCTACTTCTAAATTAATGTACATAACTGTTGTCTTTTTTATGTAGATGACACAGTCTACTAAACATGCTAACTCAACTCAACCATCCATATCTGCCAACCAAACTTCGAGTCCATCGGCTAGCTCTAGCACACCCTAACTAAGAGGGTTTCTATTTCAACATCTCTTGATGATCTTTTCTAAAATGAATACCTAACTCCTAAGCAATCTGCAACGAAAGCTAAACGCTTAAAGGAGTGATCTTATGGCCATACCGTTGGAAGCCTCACTTTTTGTTGCTTTGTACTGTTTTGTTGCCACCTTTGTGTAAGGATTGATTCCAAACCCTAAGCTGTAATATTGTTTTAGCGTGTTATTTTGTAGGTTTTCTTTTCGATATAACTTGAACTCATTAGCTCATGGATTAATAGTTTTGTAATGAGGCTTCCATCTTTAATGATGCTTTTTGTTTCATATTATTATGTGTTGATTTCAGTGTTTATATCTCTTATGACTATAGCATGTTTGTTTACATTGTTGATTTCTATTTCCACTATAACATGTTTCACATTCACTACATGTATATAGATTGCTTTATACCTATTGCTAATTTATCTTTAATTAATGGGATGAGTCATACTTTCTATCATGAAAGTGTCTTGCAATTTATAACAAATTTATTCATGTTGTCTGCAAATATTAAGATGCATATTGTCTGCAATGTCATATGTCCTATTGTGACTTACAGTGTCTAACATTGCAATGTAAGAGTTGTAACATTTAACATTTATGTGAGACGTTGGATCAAACTATAGTGTTGTCGAATTCTGTTCGCGAGTAATGCGTGTTGTAGTCGAAGTTTATTCTAACATGCATTAGTCAATATTGCTAGGGTTGTTAGCATGTTGAATTGGGCCTTGCTTGTAAGCCCAATTGTTTAAGTTAGCTTGTACCCTAAGTTGACTTGTAATGGGTAATTGTTAAAAAGCCTATTAGGTTAGTGTGCTATTTTATTATAAATAGGATGCTAGTTTCTCAATCTTGGCATAAGGAAAAATAGGAAGATAAAATCCTAATTTCAAGGGAGAGAGGTTAATTTGTTATTCTTGTATACTTGTAATCTTGTTTAAAGAGAAAGGAAAGAATAGCAGTTTAATAACCAATCCTTGTTGTTCCTTGTTGCTTTCTTCTTTATTAACCTTAACCCTTGTGTGTTTCTTGATAAGAAAACGTTTATACTTTGTTTAACGGTATCCGATTCACAACAAATTGGTGCGGTTAGCGTGGAGAAGATGCCTTCAACAAAGTATGAGATTGAAAAGTTCACCGGAGTGAACGACTTCGGTCTGTGGCGCTTGAAGATGAAAGCCCTGTTGGTTCAACAGGGTTGTTTGGAAGCGTTGAAGGGTGAGGCAGCCATGGACGTTGCGTTAACGGCAAAAGAAAAGACGGGCATGATCGAGAAAGCCCACAGCGCAATATTGTTGAGCCTTGGTGATAAGGTTCTTCGACAGGTATCAAATGAGACTACAACATCGGGATTATGAGTGAAACTTGAAAGTTTGTACATGACCAAATCTCTGGTGAATCGACTATACCTGAAGCAAGCTTTATATTCATTCAAGATGAGTGAAGACAAAGTGTTGGCTGAGCAGTTGGATATGTTCAACAAGCTGATTCTTGATCTTGAAAATATTGATGTGAAGATCGATGATGAAGATCAAGCACTGTTGCTGCTGTGTGCTTTGCCCAGAACACATGCTCACTTCAAAGAAACTCTCTTGTATGGAAGGGAGTCCCTGACCTTTGAAGAAGTTCAATCAGCCTTGTATTCTAAGGACTTGAACGAACAAAAGGAGCATAAACCTTCGACGGTGGGAGAAGGTTTGGCCGTTAAGGGAAAATTCTTGCGAAAGGATGGTAAGTTCGACAAGAAGAAAGGTAAAAGTCAACAGAAGTCTTATAGTGGCGAAACATCTAGTATTCGATGTTATCACTGTAAGAAGGAGGGTCACATAAGAAAGGTGTGCCCTGAACGCCTGAAAGATCATGGAGGTAATGGCAATGCAGCCATTGTTCAAGATGACTTTGACTCATCTGATGTTCTTGTGGTTTCAAGTGGCGACTCGAGGAAAGAGTGGATTATGGATTCAGGTTGCACTTGGCACATGACTCCAAATAGAGATTTGTTCGAGAAGCTATGTGATCAAGATGGTGGATCCGTGCTGCTGGGAAACAACAAATCTTGCAAAATTGCAGGTATTGGATCTGTGAGATTCAAGCTCCATGATGAGTCAATAAGGTTATTGACTGAAGTTAGGTACGTACCTGACTTGAAGAGAAATTTGATTTCTCTTGGTGAATTCGACAGAAAAGGATACATTTTTCAAGGAGAGAAAAGTATCCTAAGAGTCATGAAGGGGTCGAAGGAAGTCTTGAGAGACATGAAGAAACAAGGCTTGTATACCCTTGAGGATGAGGTTGTAAGTGGTTCGACAAATGTTGCATCCACGAAATCTATGTCGAAGACAAAATTATGGCACATGAGATTGGGCCATGTCAGCGAAAGAGACCTGGTCGAATTGGGGAAGCAGAACCTGCTAGGAGGTGACAAAGTCGAAAAGTTTGAATTTTGTGAATCTTGTGTATTTGGTAAATCTTGTAGGGCGAAGTTTAACAAAGGCAAACAAAGAACACATGGATCTCTGGATTACATTCATGCTGATCTTTGGGGACCTGCAAGGAATCCTTCACACTCCTCAATGAATGTGATCCAGAGATCCATGTGTTTATTTATTTATTTTGTTGGTCGCTACTATTTATAACATTGTCATTGTTATTGTTTTAGAATTCCAATAGTGTTTTATAACTGCAAATATTGGGACTGCTGAAGCTGGAGCAGCAGTTGGAGTGTTGTTGTAGGTTCTACTCAAACACAACCTAATAATGATGCTTCTGATTTTGTAAGATAAATAATTTGTTTTGCATAACTTTTTCTACTTTTTTCTATTTAATTTATATCATACTAATGTTGTTTTTATTTATTTTTCAATAGTTTGAAATCATTTTGATATTTTGAAGTCATATATGACTGGTATATCTCGGCACAACACATAATTATATTTTGAAAATCTTTTTTGAGAGAACAAACTATGTGTGATGCATATTGGCACCCACTCAAGCTTCACACTCTACTTCTCTTTCTGTCTCTCTTTGCGGTAAATCATCTCTATCTTTTTCTACATCATTTATTAGAGAAATTTTCAATTCTCAAATTCCACTTCTAATAATGTTGCAGATGCTTGTGTTTTCACAACAAGAAGACCTCATCTTTAGGCCAATTTAAAATTAATATTTAAATCACTTTAAATTTGAACATTTCCTTAAATGTACATATTTAATTTCCATACTATCCGGTCACCATACCCAAGTACACATTAATTACACCCACCATACCCAACTACATCTTATTTACACCTCATTCTATTAATGTCTGATGTCTAATGTTTAAGACCTGTATAACAAAGGAACGTTGTTCACGTATAATATCTTGACCCAAAAAAAATAAAAAATGAATACGTGATATCATCGCGTTAACACGTGTTTATGTATATTCAAAACCTTACATAAACCATCACACATTCATTTCTCATAACACATTCTTCTTTTTTTCTTTCACTCTCATTCTCATCATTTTTCTTCATCCACAAATGGCGGCTATAGAAGAATTACCTACTTCCATTCCCCACCCTTCTTCCAAGGTATTGATTTTATTTACACTTGGTTTGTTGATGTTGAATTTTATTGATTTATAAACACCAATTTTGATGTATATATGTATTTAATTGAAAGCACTAGCTTAGGATTTTGATTTTAGGTTTAGTTTTAATAGCTATGGAAATCGAAGATTTAGTTCCAGTTTTAACATATTCTGATTCTGTTGATCAGGAGAAAGTGTTGATGGATGATATGATGGAAAAGGGTTTAGCAAGATTTGGTTGGTTAGAATTTATGCAGTGCATTGTTGTTTCATTTGCATCTTTCTTTGATGCACAGCAATCATTCCTAACGATTTACACGGAAGAATACCCGACATGGCATTGCACAAATTCGACATTATGTAACTCAGATTCTAATATCTGCAATATCCCTAAATCTTCATGGTCATGGGATGGACCATCGCACAAAACAGTGATATCACAATGGGGTCTTGAGTGTGCTAGTAGCTTCATTACTGGTTTACCGCAATCTTCGTTCTTTATTGGTTGTTTTTTGGGTTTGTTTCTTCTCACAACTTTAGCTGATACTTCACTTGGAAGAAAGAACACACTTGTTTTGTCTTGTTTATCGACTTCTATAGCTTCAGTTCTCATAGTTTTCTCTACCAATATTTGGATTTACTCCGCTTTTAAGTTCTTGATTGGCTTTTTGCGTTCGTCGATCGGAACCTGTGTTTTAGTTTTGCTCACTGAGAAAGTTAGTACTCAATGGAGGTTCACGGTTGGTATTTCTGAATACTTATGCTTCGTATTAGGGTATATGTCACTGTCTGGTATAGCATATGTTAACAGATTTAATTCATGGAGATCGGTTTACATCTGGACGTCAGTTCCGGCTATTTGTTACTCGGTTCTTGCTTATATCTTTGTTACTGAGTCTCCAAGGTGGCTTCTAACGCAAGGAAGATATCAAGAAGCTATGGCAATGCTTACGGGAGTTTCTTCATTAGAGAATGGTAATGATTTGACGGTAGGTCTGATAGAAGCACCGGTGAATAAACAAAAGGCTTCGATTTTCCAACTCTACTCATCGATAGCCGAGTTGTTTGGGAGAGGTTGGGCTTTAAAGCGAACGGTGGCAGTAATGGTGCTTGGTATTGGAATTGGAATGATGTATTTTGGTATGCCATTAGCAGTTGGGAACTTAGGAATGGATATTTACTTGGCCGTTGTGTTCAGTGGCTTGATGGAAATACCGGCTTGTGTGGCTTCCTATTTCTTGGAGAACCGTCGAAGAAAGCCATCAATTCTTGTATTTTCAGTAGCCAGCGGCGTATGCTGTATAATGTGTGTTGTTGTCGGATCAGGAATACAAGAACTTAGAGTCGGATTAGCAATGACATCATTTTTCAGTGCTTGCACTGCTTTTAATGTCTTTCTCATTTACATTCTTGAGCTATTTCCAACAAGCGTAAGGAACACTACAACATCATTGGTGAGACAAGCTATTGTTGTTGGTAACGTTTTCACCCCCTTTTTGATATCGGCCGGGAGGAAAAATGACATATTCTCTTACGGCGTGTTTGGACTAGTTATCTTGTTGTCATGTTTTACATTGCTTGGTTTGCCAGAGACAAGAGGATTAGCTTTTTGTGATACCATGGATCAACAAGAGAAGAAAGACAATATGTTGGAATAAATTGGTAATCTTGCATTTTTATTTTTGAAGCTTATGTACTGATAATTTTGAAGGCAGTTAAAGACCTTCTGTTATGTTCAATATTGATTCTTACCACTGTTAACTGTTATGTTAAGAAACAGCACATGTTGCAACTTGTCATGACTCAGAAAATGTTGCAACTTGTAGAATTATTTCTGACATAATGATATGCAAAGTATCACTATCTATCATAATGAATCATTCCAACTTGACACCATTCCTGAACGCGTTATGTATTCAATTTTATATAGTTTTTTGGAATTTCATTTACTTAATATAACAAGAATGCACAAAGCATGGTTACTTTTTCAATTATATATATAGTCAAACGAAAACAAGTTAAGTCAAACAAAATATATATATATTATCATGATCTGACAATTTTATAGTTTTTAGGGATCTCATTCATTTAATTTAAGACGTGCACAAAGCATGGTTGATTTCAACTTTATTAATAATAGCCACGAAAAACAATTTATATATCATATAGGATCTAACAAAATGTCGTGTAATGCATGTGTTCGAGATTGCAAAAGTTAATATAAAAATGCAACAAGCCGATAATGTTAGGATTTGTCTAGTGAAAAAAGGAAAAGTAAAAAAAGAAAAAAAAGTAAGAAATTATTTAGAAAATAATGAACTTTTGTTTTAACTTTAAAAAAAATAGATTTGTTTGTATTTTTAAAAATATTTTTAATTTTTTTATATTCATTTTTTTAAAATTAAAAATTAATTTTGATATCTTATAATATAAATATATATTATTGATCAAAATATAGTCAAAATCATAATATTTTTAAAAATTATATCTCAAAAATAATTTTTTATAAAAGCTATTTGAAATTTTATAAAAATCATCTTTAAAAAAAATCAAAACTGATCTGACCTGATCAGAAGGGGATCACGGGCTGGCCACACGCTGTTGGACTGCTACCTGTTCACCAGTGATGAGGAGGAGAAAGGGGGTGTACCTGCAAGACATTCCGATGCCAAAGTAAGGAATTTGGCAGAGTGAGAGCAAAGTACAAAAATGGGGTAAGAAGTGAATTACCTGACCCTCTTGTGAAAGAGGGTATTTATAGAGAGACCCTAGCGCTGGGCCAACAGTCACTTGCGTTGGGCTGGATTGCCAGACCCAACCCAGGTGACTGCTAGGGCTTACGTGGCGTAGTGAAGACCAGGACGTGGTCTTCGCCTTAGTCCAACTGTCCCGTGATCTCTAGAAGGTGGGTTTGACCTGCTCTTTCGGAGGTGGGCAGTTGGTCAGTGACGTGTCACCGCGGAGGGGAGCACGTGTGCAGGACACGTCGTCCTGCCCGACAGGAGGGCGGGTTCTGCCCGCGGGGGGGGGGGGGGGGGGGTGCAGGTCTTGTCCTCGGAGGATAGAGTTCGCTGAGCGGGGGAGTCTCCAGTCCGACGTAGCCGGGGTAGGCCTTCCTTGCAGGGAGGCCTCTCTGGCTTTTCGGGGACCTCGTGCCCGACGCGGTATCCGGATTGGACAGACCTGGTGGAACATTATTGGGCTGGGCCCGCGTGGTTAGCCCGGGGCCTAGGCCAGAACAAAAACAAACATGCTCAAAATCTCACCCTAGTGGCAACCAGTAAGAGAATAATGATTTCTACAAAAAATGATTAATGATAGTTTTACTATATTTTTTGAATAACTTTAACGGAAAATCTTATGAGTTGCATATAGTTTTGAGTGATTTAGTTGTGAAAATTCTCCTAAGAATGATGCTGGAAAAATTCTTCATCTGCTTTTTCTCTGTGCATGTGTTCGTTGTGCAAATCACGAACCAAAACTTAATAAGAAAGAAATCATGGATCATCTAATTTTTCATGGGATTTGTCAAAGTTATACACAATGAATATGGCACAGTGAGGTAGTAGCAAAGTCAAATGTGTCCCAAAGAGATAATGTTAGTGCAGAAATGGATGATCGTCTAGAAGACATGATGCGTGATATTGGACAAGATTCGTTTAAGAAGGCGCATGCGTATGATACTTTATGTTGTGACAAGGATAAACCTTTGTACCCAGGATGCACAAATTTTACACGTTTGTCAGCCGTGTTAAAATTGTTTAATTTGAAGGAAAATAATGGGTGGACTGACAAAAGTTTTACCGAATTGCCTGAATTGTTGACACAGATGCTTCCAGAAGGTAACGTAATGCCAAATCGTTATTACGAGGCGAAAAAGATATTGTGTCCGATGGGTTTGGAGTATGAAAAGATAGATGCATTCCATAATGATTGCATATTATACAGAAAATAGTATTTAAACTATAATCATTGTCCGAAGTGCAAGACGTCACGCTACAAAAAGAAAGCTGGTGATTCTAGTGATGATGAGGCGGTAAAAAAGGTTCCTCCCGCGAAAGTGGTATGGTACCTACCAATAATTTCAAGGTTCAAGAGACTATTCGCTAATGCAAATGACGTAAAGAATCTTAGATGGCATACAAAAGAAAGAAAGTGTGATGGAAAAATTCGCCATGTAGCTGATTCTTTACAATGGAAGAAAATAGATGCTTTGTTTCCAAATTTTGGCAAAGAGTCGAGAAACCTTAGACTTGGACTTTCAACTGATGTAATGAATCTGTTTGGTAACCTAAGTACTAACCATACTTGTTGGCCTGTTCTCCTGATGATCTACAACCTATCTCCTAGGTTGTGCATGAAGCGTAAATATATTATGTTATCGATGATGATTTCGGGCCCAAAACAACCCGGAAATGACATAGATGTTTATCTAAGTCCTATGATTAATGATTTAAAAGTGTTGTGGGAGGAAGGGATGGATGTTTTTGATGTGTATTCTGGTGAACAGCTCAACATGCGTGCCAAGTTGTTTTGCACCATCAACGATTTTCCGGCATATGGCAATTTGTCTGGTTATAAAGTTAAAGGGCATAGAGCATGTCCTATATGTGAAAAAGACACATCTTACCATCAACTTGAAAAAGGAAAGAAGACTGTTTATCTCGGGCATCAAAAATTTCTAGATCTTTATCATTCATATCGTAGATTGCAAAAAGCTTTCAATGGGGAACAAGAGCATGGTGTTGCTCCAAAGCCCTTAACTGGAGAGGAAGTTTATCAACGAAAACAGGGCATTAATGTCATCTTTGGAAAGTACCAAATGCAATATACTGTGAAAAATATATGGACAAAGAGGTCGGTTTTCCTCAATCTTCCATATTGGTCTAGTCTTGATGTAAGATATTGTATTAATGTGATGCACGTGGAGAAAAATGTATGTGATAGTTTAATCGGAACACTTCTCAACATTCAAGGCAAGAAAAAAGATGGTTATAATGCTTGTCTGGATTTGGGTTTGATAGGTATATGAGAAGAGTTAACTCCACAACATATAGGTAATAAGATATATTTGCCTCTTGCCTGCTACACTCTGTCTAAAAAAGAGAAAACAAGTTTCTGTGAGTGTTTACAAAGTATTAAAATGCCGCATGGTTACTCATCAAATGTCAATAGGCTTGTCTCAGGTAAAGATCTCAAATTAATTGGATTAAAATCTCATGACTGTCATGTCTTAATGCAACAGCTACTACCAGTGGTTATTCGTGGGATATTGCCTAACAATGTTAGGAAGACTATAACTAGGTTGTGCTTATTTTTCAATGCAATTTATTGTAAAGCCATTGATCCATTAAAGCTAGACAATTTGGAAAATGAGGTTGCAGTTATCTTATGCCAATTAGAGATGTATTTTCCTCCTTCATTTTTTGACATTATGGTTCACTTGATTGTTCATCTAGTAACGGAGATTAGATTATATGGTCCAATTTATTTACGGTGGATTTATCCAACAGAGCCATACATGAAGATCCTAAAAGGGTATACAAAAAACCCACACCGCCCGGAAGCATCAATTGTTGAGAGGTACATCGCAGAAAAAGCAATTGAGTTTTGTTCAAACTATTTGTCATAAGTGGATGTTGTAGGGGTTCCCAAGTCTCGTCATGATGGAAGATGTGAGGGTGTGGGTACACAAGGTTTAAAGGTCAAGAGCTTAAGTATTGACGTGGTTCTTCAAGCGCATTTGTATATATTGAATAACACATATGAAGTTCAACCATACTTATCTGTTCACAAAAGCATCATAAAGAAAAAGTACCCCAAGATGAATGAAAGATGGTTGTTAAAAGAGCATAATAAGAGTTTCTCTGAGTGGTTTAAAGAAAAAATTTCTAATGAGGATAATGCTTCCAATACAATTAAGTGGTTGTCCTATGAGCCTAAATGTAACATAATAACTTGGAGTGGATATGATATTAATAAAACTTGCTTTTGTACAAAGTCAAAGGATAATCATAGTACCACACAAAATAGTGGGGTTATGATTGTGGCTGAGTCCATGCATTTCTCTAGTGCTAAAGATGAAAACCCGGTTATGGCATCTATACCATACTTTGGGGTGATTGAATAGATTTGGGAAGTTGATTATGTTGTGTTTAAAGTTCCTGTATTTAAATACAAATGGATTGATATCAACAGTGTTGTAAGAATTGATGAATTCAGAGTTACATCGGTTGATCTTAGCAAGTTAGCTTATGTGGACGAACCTTCCATCATGACGTCTCAAGCAAAACAAGTGTTTTATTTCACAAATCCTTCTAATAAAAGGTGGTCAATGGTTATACAAGGAAAGGTGCATGATAGTGATGAAAATCAAGATGCGAACCTTGATATATCCGAAACTCCTCCTTTCTCAACGAATGTGCCTACCTTCGTTGAAGAAAACGAAGAGGATGACGTGCACGTTATTCACATAGATCATGAAGAAGGGATATGGGAGGAATAGTAAGGTTATTTTATACGTTAATTTGACATTACTTTAATTTTTATTTTTTTATTTTGTGCTTAATTTGATGTCTAATTGTTTATATTTTGTGCTTAATTTGATTTCTAATTGTTTTTATTTTGTGTTAACAGATACATGGCTGATTCAACCGATAACCCTTCTTCATCTAGTGACCCTAAAAAAAGATGAGTTATAGGTCCCACTTTGATGACACAAATTAACAAAGTTCATCAAAGAGGTGAAAAGATAAAGGTCGAGTTTCATCCAATAACCAATGGATCTATGGGTAAAAATGCTTCAAATTTTAGGAGTTACATAGCGTCTCTTGCTCGACAGATCAGATGTAGTATTTTGAAAAATGAGTGGAAAGACATAGATGAAGGCATAAAAGAGGCTATTTGGACTGATGTTCAGGTATTTTTAACTGCTACACTTTATTATATTTTATAATCATATACTAACAACATATGCCGTATACTATATGTGTAGGCTCATTTCACTACTCCAGAACCTCATGATCCAAAGAAGGATCCGTTGAAGAAAGAATGAATTAAATATGCAGGAGAGCGATGAAGAGCTTTTAAGACACAACTCACAAGAGACTATATTAGAAAGCCCAAATAAGGTCTACCTCCTCCACGTATCAAGTATAATTATATTAAAGAAGAAGTATGGAAGGATTTTATGCAGTCTCGAGATACCCCTGAATTTAAGGTTAGTAGGAGTTATAGTTTTTTTTTGTGCATAACATTTTTATTATGTTTAGTATGATTAATAACTTTTTGAGTTTATAATAGGAAAAAAGTCAAAAGGGTGCAGCAAATGTGGCTAAGAATGTATACCCACATGTATTATCTCGTGGAGGGTATCGTTTGCTTGAGGAGAAAATGATAAATGAAAGGAGATCATCGATAGATGATTCTACCTTAGATGATACTGGTAGCCCATCTCCACCATCACGCCATGAGTTATGGAAGAGAGCACGACAAAAGAAAGAGAGAGAATACACATCAAAGGCTACACAAGTTGTTGCTGAGAAAATTGTAATTAAAAAGTTATGGTTTTTTCATTTTGTAGGATTCTCTAGTTATAATTGCGATTGATAAAAAAAAATGGTTTTTTATTTTATTTTGTAGGATTCTCTAGTTGAAGAAGCTGAAAAGGGTGGCTTTGTTCCGGATGGACGTAATGATATCTTAACATCATCCATTGGAACATCTGAGCATGGCGGCTGTGTTCGTGGTGTTGGAAAACACCATAAACAAATCACTTTCTTTGGCAGATCTTCTTCACGTCAACGACAAGAAGATATAAGATCATAATTTGAACAATTTTCATCTGAATTAGAAGTAAAGCTTAGAGCTGATTTTGATCAAAAGTTGGCTGAAGAGCGTAAGACGATGGAAGAATCTTTCATGGAGACACTTAGGTCTATGGGTCTCTCGCAACAAAGCACTGAAAATAATAATAAATGCATTGTACAATGGGAAGTTGTTGATGGAAGCGGAAAAGGAAGTTATTCAGTTGCAAAAGTAAGCACAAAAGAAAGAGACGGAGAAGACAATGTTGAGAGATTAATGAAAATGGTTCTAAGAATGAGTGAAGATCATTTGGCAATAGAATTAAGTCATTGTGTGAGCGCCAATAATTTTTATATGTTAGCTAAGTGTATCAGAGAGCTGCTGGTGGGTGTTAATTGGCTTGATGTGTCTACTCTCCAAGTTTGGTGCACGTAAATACATTTTCTATTTTTATTAGTGTCAATATCTATTAATATGTTATATCTCTCATCACTTTTATTATAATGTTGATTTTAAAATTTTTCAGGTATATTCATCGTTTGTGTATTGATACTTCACAATCTGAAGTATACGGATTTATGGACCCTGCTATGTGTTCGTACGTTGATCATGTGCCAAAAACTCAAGCAAGTGTCAAAAAATACATACAAGATAAGTTACGTGACGAAAAGAGAGAGTGTCACTTGCTACCATTTATTCATGGGTAAGTTTGTATGAAATTATGTTTTCTATTTTTTAATTTTGGTAACATATATAGTTCAATTTTGGTAACATGAAATTGTGACTTTTGTGTTTCCACACACACGTACAGAGGTCATTGGCAATTAATAGTCATGTGTCCAAATGATAATACAGTGTTCGTCTTTTGTTCACTTCATCATGAACTTAATCAAACCATGACGAAAATTGTTACAAGGTAAGTTTATCTTTTATGTTCACTTCATCCTATATACATAATTTGTTACAAAAGTAATATCATATGTTATGTAACTTTATATGAATTTTTTTCTTCTGAATTAGTGCTTTTGGGGTTCATTAAGCGGCAAATGGGAATAGAAAAAAGGCTACATGATTTCAACCCAATGTAAGCGTGGTGTAAATTATAATTATATATTTAATTTTATCATATAAGTATTCACTAATTATGTCATTCATTTGTAGACAAGGAAACAACCTAACTCTAATGATTGTGGGTATTATGTGATGAAAAATATGTTGGATATTGTCTCTGCCAATATAACCAATTCTTGGATGAAGGTAATAAAAATGACTTTAATTTGTTATTTACTTTATGTTTTGCAACTTAATGTGAATTTTCAAAGAATAACTCTATTGTTATTTACGTGTTGTAGGTATTTAATGACCAAACGAACTTAACAAAAGATGATTTGTATGATTTGCGACTCCGTTGGGCAACATGTTTCTTTGAGTTATATATAAATGTTAAGCTTTTTGTTGTTGCAGTGGTCCATCGTGTAAACCTCCTTATAATTTAGTACATTTGTGTATATCCTATATCAGTATTTTTGTAAATCAATTATGTGTATACTAGATATTCGGTGCTATGAAATTAGATTTGTGAGAAAAATATGAAAATAACGACCTAAATATGGTCTCTGTGATGTTGGAAAACTATGAAAATAGCGACCTAAATGTGGTTTATATGATGTTAGGAAACTATGGAAAATAGCGACCTAATTATGGTCTGTGTGATGTTGGAAAAATATGAAAAATTAGGTACCAAAAAAGTTACAGGGAACGGCTAAAAAATAGGCAAATAATTTATACTCGTAATAGTACATTTTACATCGGGCGGGCGAAATAACCGATGTAAAAAACCACCTTTCACATCGGGTTAACCACATAACCGATGTTAAAAGTGTCACCTAAGACTTTTCAAATCGGTCAAACAAGAGAACCGATATAAAAAGTTAACCAGGCGCGTGTTTGACATTTTTATTTTGTTTACTACAATACTTTTTACATCGGGTTAACCACACAACCGATGTAAAAAGTCTACCTTTTACATCGGTTTTTCCTTACAACCGATGTTAAAACACCCTTTTATAATTAAAATTTACAATTATTTTTTTTTCACATCAGAGTTAAAAATTTAACCGATGTGCTTGGTGTATTTCTTACATCGGGTCAAAACCTGATGTAAAATGTCTTTGATTTACTACATCGCCCGACTTTACATCGGACTCAGACCCGATGTAAAATGTCATTTTTGCGATGTAAAAAGTCATTTCTGCACTAGTGAAAAAACCTCTGGTTTACCTATCACTACCCAATTATAACTTTATCATTAGAAGTCACATCTAATTGATAAGAGAAACTCATCTCACTCCTAAAATCACAACCTGTGATAGTTATAGTCACAATAACTGCATCATCTTACTTGAAAGACACCTCTTTTAATACAAAGTTCAGCTAAGCAACATTGACTAACAATCTACTTGAATTTGCTTTAAAGTTTCAGCTAAACAACCTTCGAGTTTTACGGACGATGCTAAGTTTACATTCTAACAGTTAGGGTGTTTGCGATAGAACAGAACTAGCATATCCTTTTTAAAAAGGTTTTAAAAGGAGAAGTCCGAAGGCGAAAAGGGTTTGAATTTGTGAAATGTTTTGTTAAGAGATATGTGCATTTCCTTCACACGTGAACTACACATTTGAGGAAGTATTCAAAAATGTTTCAGCATTACTTCTTCTTCCCCATTTTCTCTCTCTTGTTCTCTCCTTCACCCTCTTTTCCCTTTATTCTTCATAAATTTTTAAACGGTTAAACAATAACAATAGCATTCCCACATCCATGGAAATGAAACAACCGCCATCAACTTATGACTCAACACAAAAAACATGGTTTTGACACAATCAACGCGATGAGAAACTACCTGCGAGTTGACTTTGTCGGCGAGACTCGCATGTTGTTGCAGATCCAGACGCGATGATGCGGAGATTCCGGGAACCTCAAAAACAAGCGATGGTGAGGAGCCGCGTTCGCAGGTCTGCACGTGATGGAGGGAGTGCGACGATTCCGACGTCCGTGAATTGGTTGTTCACCGAGTTGGCGCATGCTATTTTCACTGATACTTATTGTGTCCGATACTGCTTCTATCATTGCCCTTTTATAGACATAGGTGAGATTGAATTCCGATTTTGAATTGAATGTGAAATAACGTTGTTGATTCTTGCTTGGGAAAGAGAATACTTTTGCTGTTAATTATGATTCTATGTGATTTCCTATGTATTGTTGTGCAGCACGAATAGCCTTTACGTATGCGGTATGTATGCTCATGTAAAAAAAATTGTAGCGTATTCGATTTCAAGTGCATATGTTCCTCTAAGATTCTATTTTATGCAGGTTTAGTAGTCCATGTGCTTAGAAATTTCAAATGCTAATAAGTAATATCTAACTAAATGCCAACTTTACTTTCCGAAAGTTAGAAATTTAGAACCAATTCTAATATTTCTAAACATAAAGCCAAATAAAATATCCATTACATTTAACATGTAAACACAAGTTGTAAACAGTGAAATTTGCTTCACAAAGTAAAAGGTTCCAAATGATAACAAACTATATGCGCATGTAAAAGACTCTGATAGAAACAATAGAGAGTGATGGCTTAGAAATTCACTGTAAGTCATAATAGTTAGCATCATAAAGAAATTCATGACATTCACTCCAACCTGAAAAATCATAAGAGATTCCAAATGCATAATCTTCGTATGCTCCATCATGAAACTTAGTTTCAAATGGATAGTCATCAGTTGCATCATTTGGGAGCCATAAATACTTGATATTTTCTTTACATCTCTTTGCCAAACTTCCTATAAAATTAATATTGAAACACTGACGGATGTCAAGAGATTCCAGTTGATGACAACCATCAATAACAGCAAGTAAAACATCATTAGTCATCTTATTTCCAATAAGTTGAAGATGGCATTACCCAGGCATGAATTAAGCAATAGCAAGTGCGTCGTCCTCATACTCAATATGTGGATATCTGTATACTTGAATGTTGAATTTTTAAGGTTTTCAATCAAGAACAATGGTTTAGAAAAAAATGTGATTTTGAATAGTTAATATAAAATGGATATTAGCATTGGACTTGGGTATGAAACATAGCTTTGGGTAATTGGATTTTGACAAATGGTTTAAAATGGACTTACAAATAATTTGGTTTAGACTATGGATTTTTGTGAGTTTAAAAATAGTTATAAAAATGACTCAAGAAGAGTTTTATGGAATGGAAAAATGGTAATAGGTATGGATTCAAAAAATGGATTTTAAGAAAATGAATTGGATCATTGAATTGGATAATTGGACGTTTGAACTTCAATTTGAATCTAAATTATGAGGGATGGTGAGCTTGAATAACAAGAAAACACCTTTAACACATTCAACCAAAACCTTGACAACTTTGATCCGATTGAACTTGTGAAATCTCTTGAATGAAACTTCTCAGCAATGAATGCACGCCAACTTCAATTTTCAAACCCAAATCAACTTGCATCCTTAATGAACCCCCAATTCCAATCTCAAATCCAGATTAACTTGTCTTACAAGCAACAAGCAACTAAGAGAATGAAAATTCCTTGATCATAATATAGGTTTACAATTTGATTTCTTGCACCATGACCCAATGCTTTGCAATTCAATCCACATATATCTTGCCTTTATGACCAATGATCTCAACACAAGAACAATTCCCTGAAGAAACCTTGAAGATGAAGATAAGACATGAAATGTAGAAAGAAACATGAACACTAAGATAAAACATGAAGTGTAGAAAGAAACATGACCAATGAACCTCAATTGCCGAAAGTCCATAAGCTCACCCATGAATAAGAAACCCTAATTCACCTTGAGATGTACACTGATAATGATGAAATGCCTTGAGTTAATTATGAAATGCTAAGCACCTGGTGACATTGAGAAATCTTGAAGAACATGGCAATGTATCTTGATAAATCTTGACAAAGATGCTTATGATGGTGAGAATTCCACCTCTTGCTTTAGCTGGAGTGCAAGAATCAAATGGATCACCTCTGAATAGGGAAAACCAAAATCATAGGAAAATACTTAGATCCTATGTCTTATGAGCTCATGTAAATGAATGATTGTGACTAAATAACCTAATGGAAAATGTATATGAAAACGAAGCAAAAGCCAGTCAGGGTTAGGATAAAGTGAGGGAAAATTTTGGGGTGCAACAATCACTAAGAAAAAAAAGAATGGTATGATTATTTTTTGGAATCAAACAAGAAGAACCTACATAATTAATGGCTAAGGACTGATCATTATTTTTTACACAAACACGACTATGACCTGCATAGGGTTTCTTGGTGTGCAAGAAATGAACATAGGGTGTAAGGTCATGAGAGGCACCTAAGTCAACAAACCATGCTTTTTTAAGCTCCTCAGGTAAATAATATTAATGAGAAGTTATCATCATATCTATGGCCTGAGAATCAGAGGCTGATGTTCATGATTATCATTTGAAGTGTCTGGAAATTCTGCCCAGTTGGACTAATCTCGTGGAGATGTGAAGGTTTCATCAAAATTGTGCCAATATTCAGAAACATTATGGCCATATTTCCCACATAATTGTAAAGTAGGTCGATTATATGATATGAAACGGCCTCTATCACGAGTCATGCGTCCCCTACCTCGATTACTTACAAAACATTAACGCACACCACCTATTTGTTAATTTGTGTGAGGCACATTTACAAACACAATAGACACAACCAACCCCTGCCTGAACTTGTCAAAGTGTGCTTCCTGCACATATAGAAAAGCTTCAACATAAAAGAGTGTTAGAGGCTTAGGATCACCAAACATTTGCACGAAACAAATTATATTCCTCTAGTAAACCATCAAGAATGGAATCAATCGGATCTTGTGGATATTGAATCTCCAATAACTATAAGCGAAATTTGCAACGACCTTCACTCTAATCACATACTATGTGATGGATTTGGTGTATTTCTTCATGGAATTCAACTCAACACAAAGCTTCTTAACTCATGTTTTTATATGAGCAATAAATTACTTGTGAATCTTGTCCCATACTTTAAACACATCCTTCCACGATAGCACTTGAGGTAACACATATTCAAAAGTGGTAGATGGAAGCTAGATAAACACAATTTGATCCCGCGTAATCCAAGATTCGTATTCTTTAGACACTTTAAGTTTAATTCGATGTTATTCAGATTTGAATTTCTATGGAATCTGAGGATTCACCACGATCTTGTGCACTCTTTGAGTGAGAATGACTCCTTTAACTTGTTGATTCCACATGAGGTAGTTGTTGTCTTGAACTTTAATCGAAATCTTTGGACCAAAATGATGTGATGAAGATGAATCAAAGGTGTTTGTTGAGATTTCTTGAGAATTATGAGTGAAACTTCCAACATTTGCAGCATGAGATGATTTGGCCATGGCAATAAATGAAAGGAAGAAGTTGAAGTTCCAATTCTTGGAGCTTGTAAATATTGTAACAGAAAGTTAGTTACAATTGAATGAGAGTTAGTTAGAGAGCAGAAGAGATCGAACAAGGTGAATGATACTATGATAGAATGTATGAACTTCATTTAGCATTGTGTATAACGAGTTAAAGTTTACAAGGCATGAAACTCTCATATTTATAGACATTCAGCATGGAATGCATGAAGTGCTCATGTAAGAAGAGTTTATGTCACCGTGCATAATGATCTAAGCTTACACAACCTTTAATCATACAAGTGTAAAGCTGAGTTTCACGTCACTACGAATTTTTCAAAAATTTAAACTTCTCCTATGTGAAAAGTTGTATTTCACTTTTGTTTACTATTTTTAAGATAACGACGTGTTTTTAATGTCAAATATTTTCTCCAAAACTCAATTTATATTCCCAAATTCAATTGTATTTATGAAAAATCATGAAGTATGTTTTTAACAAGGTATCTCAAACTCTTCTCTATCAAAATTCATATTGTAATACTCGTAACACGCATCGCGGCAACCACAATCCCTACAACCGCAAATATATATATATATATATATATATATATATATATATATATATATATATATATATATATATATATATATATATATATATATATATATATATATATATATATATTCAATAGTTTAATTCCTCCATTAAAAAAATAGTTTTAATTTCTACTTTTCATTAATTACTTTTATGTTGCTTGTATTTATAGAGCTTATCATCTATGGCATAATCTCATGGTGCACAAATTTTATTCACCACTTCATGGAAGACAGAGGCATATATACATAGCAAACTTCATTTTCATAATAAATAAAATACTATCACCGCAGCTCTATTGTCTTCAAGAATATTTATTCAAATCATACATAACAAGTAGTAGAATCTATGATTAAAACATAAATATCTTTTTTATTTTTCTTCCAGAACATTCCCACTAGTCATACTTGCAACTTCCATAACCTAGCTATCAAACAAAACAAATTGAACCATGTTCATAATCTTATCAACCAAAAAAAAATCTATGTATCAACACATTTATATATTTCAATTATTAAAAAATCATAATGATATATCAAATAATGAAATCGTTACTTGGATCAAAAAGAACAATGAGACCAGAATTTCTGAAAAACGCGTTGCAGAAGAATTCATCTTTTCCATGATCTGCATAGAACCGATTCATGGCACGAGAAGCGTGGCTGTGTAGTGTGTCTGGTTCGTAACATTCTCCACCCTTTTTAATCATAGAGCAACTATGGGTAATGCAAGCATGTATAAGGTTGTAATTCAGCTCTTCTAGACTTGCCGAAGGTTTTGCTATACACCAACTATCTGGACCATTCATTCTTTTCATTCCATTAGCAAACTTAAAATTCTCTTCTGCATAAAATCAATCAAATCCTAACATATTATATATATAACTGAGATTTGCAGCATTTCTTGATGAGAGTTATGTTATGTTAATGTATATATATTAAACTAATATATAATTACTAGCCATGGACTTTGAATTAATTACCTCCTGCATTGAGCATAGAGATCAATATGAAAATTGAAATGATTGAATATTTGGTCATAATGGTGAGATAGATTGCCTCGAAATTTTGAGAAACTAAATGCTGATTTTTGTTTTCTCTAGCTTTGTAGTGTAATGTGGAGTGAAAGGGCACATTATGTATATAAAATATATAAAAGGGATTATTCAATTCTATTTATATAAATTTAACAATAATATATATATATATATATATATATATATATATATATATATATATATATATATATATATATATATATATATATATATATATATATATATATATATATATATATATATATATATATATATATATATATATATATATATATATATATATATATATATATATATATATATATATATATATATATATATATATATATATATATATATATATATATATATATATATATATATATATATATATATATATATATATATATATATATATATATATATATATATATATATAGTTCAACTTTGGAGAGATGTGAAACTTTTCTCACCATGACCCTTCGCCTTAAGGGAGATAGGCATTTTGAGACCCTTTTCAATGCTACCTTGTCAACTAAATTAAGTGCACTTGTTGTTCATTTCACCCGCTGGATAGAGGTCAAAGATCTGATAAAGATAATCGAGAATAATATCTCGTATACCTTTAAATCACGTATCCTGACTACTAAGATAATCGATAACAATATTTCTTATACCTTTGAATAAAGTATCCTAACCATATTTGACATACCATGTTGTTGTAATGGATAATATAACACAATTCACTTACATGACATTTTGTGCTTTATTGTCTAATGTAATTTCTTTTCAATTGAAGTGCATTATGCAAAAATAATATGAAGTGTTCAAAATGTTTTGATGAAGAAATGACTCATGTGGAATCTAATATTCTAACATATGTGTAAAATATTTTGGTGAAGAAAAGACACATGTATAAGCAAATGTTCCAGTATAAGTGCAACATCTGACTCTTGTCAGAGGCCATGATGGATGATTTTCTGAGTGTATTTTTCTGGTTGTGTTTGAATCAAAATTATTGCTATCTTTTAGCAATGCATTTATTAGATTGTTTTACGGATTAAAAGGATCAAATCAAATCAGTTAGAGATTTAAATTTGAATTCAAATTTATATCAAATATTTTTGGAGGTTGTTGCAAAACAAATAAAAACAAAAAAACAAAAAACAAAATCCTCTACAAATTTAAAAGTGATCGTATCTTTTGCCCATTGAAAAAAAAAAGCCCGGAAGATTGCATTTTTATTTAAGGATACTCAACCCTAACGTTTGAAGTGTGCAAGTATTGAAGATTGGTGTGTTAGGTTTATCTATTAAGTCTTTGTTTATGTTATTGTTTGTACATCACTCTAGCGTTTTCATTCATATCTTAATGCATATAGTTTGGTTTGTTAGTTGAGTTGTAACTCAACATTCATTATTCTGATTTTGTAGTGATCACTTCAGATTAATGATTGAGAGAAAGTGATAGGGGCTATCATATTTAGGGGGAGTCCTAAATAGAAAGTCAATAGGATTAGGAAGAGTCATTGAACAACATGTGATTACTAATTCAAAATAGTGGATTTCCTTTCTTGGGTTGGAAGCTCCCCTAGACGTAGATGAGGTTGCACTGAATTAGGTTAAAAATTATTTGCGTTCTTTTATTGTTTTATCAGTTACTACCTTGTTTATCAATAATCTGTCAAATCTGTTTTAAGATGTTGAACATTTTGCCTTAAGCATCTGGTCAAACATATGTCCCTTTAAGATCAAATTTTCAATTGGCATCATAGCAAACACCATGTTCGATTTGTGTGTGTTCTAGGATTCTTATTCTGTTCAAGATGGAGAATTTCAAAGGAGGAGCAATTCATCAACCAAATATTCTTAATAATATTAAGAATCCTCCAAAGAATAGAGTTGAAGACAATTATGAAAATTGTGAACACCAAGTAGGTTATGATATTACTAAAGAAAATATCAAGCTTACTAAGATCTTTCGTAAAGTCATGAGAAAACTAGATATGAGAATTGAGAATAATATCTCTACAAATATTTAAGACAATCATCAATACAATATCAAAAGGTGTAACTTTCAGCGTAAAGTAACAGGTGGTGTAAATCTCAACTGAATCTAATGTCTTAAATGCAGAGATTTTGAACATATTCAAGCTGAATGCTGAAGTTTTCAAAGGAGACAAAGAAAAATCTACAATGTCATTAATGATGAGGAAGGTGAATCTGATCAAGCAAACAATGTTGTGACCTTCAAAGACATGAAAGATGTTATACATACTAGTGATCCATCAAATTCAAAGAATATATGTGTTACTCATATTCAAAAAACAAAATGCACAATGTCAGGTAACATGGTTAACATCGTGTCATAAATCATTATCAGTGCATTAATTTGTTCTACGTTATTTTATTGTACTACTGTAAATTCTATGGTGGTTAACTACATCATCAACATATGTATTCACAATTGAATGATAAGTCTCAGAGGCATCATCAACACGTCTTATGTAGCAAGCCAAATATTTTTGTTCATATTGCTTGTATCTCCTACAAGATATATTTTTGGTGAAGATTATTATTTTGATAGTAGCTGCAATAGACACTTGAAAGGGGGAAAACTATGTTACTCTTGGTGATTGTACTACAAGACAAAAATGTTTTGAGAGGAAGATGAGTAGTGCCTGCAATATGGTGCAGAATGTTGAAGAACATGTTCCTGACATAATGGATGATATTGTAGATTCAGAAACTAAGCTATGGCACAAAAAACTTGGGGGTTGTAGCACTAAAAACTGTCATATGCGTATCGATCTCAAAATTGAAGAAAGGTAAAATTTATAAGGACTGTTAAGTTGGGAAGCAAACGAAGATGTCATACAAGATGCTTCAATATCTTACTTGTGTTTTTGAATTATCACTCATAGACTTTATGAGAGTCATGCAACAAGTTGTCATTGAAGGGAAGACTGATGGTCAGACCAGAGGTCCTCCCAACATTGAACAACTAACTATGGTTCAAAAGAAGAAGCTAAAGAAGATTAGTGATCATGACATAATTCTTCCTATTGGGGTTCCTTATCATATGTCTTGAATTTTCACTATCCAGAAACATGATATTGTGTTTGGAAAAGCTGAAATTGGGGTTCCTCTTATTGTGTTGAATTTTAGTTATAAGTTGTATGTTAGGAAGAATGTCCCAAACATTGTTCCACATTTTAATAAGTCTGATCTGGATACTGGTGAAAACGTTCTTCATGTCCCACTTATGTTTGACCCTATAAGAAACCATCCTCTCATACAAAAGACTGTTCTTAGACATTATGTTCTAGCTGGTGTGGCACACATGGTTTTATGAAGAAAGACACATGTGGAACAAATGTCCCAGCATGTGGCACTTGTCTATAGGACAAGGCTATTATTGTATGCGCACGTTTTTCAAATGTCTATAGCGTGTTTTTCTATTATATGTACAACAAGGGTTGTTTCTATCTTTTATCAATCTGATTTATTTGATTATTTAATTAAATTAAACTTAAATTAAGTAGATTTGAATTCAAATCAAGTCTTGTGTGGAGCTGATTTGGAGAAATAAATCCTAATTGAATATCCATCATGTATGGACAAGATTACTGCCTAAATCCTGTGGATTGGTATATATAGAGACTCTTTTCAAGCCTTTGAAGGCCACGAGCTTGGGTGATAATTTGAGTTTTAGGTCGAGTCTTTGTTTTTGTTAATTTTACACCACATTATTTCTCCATTCATATCATTAGACATAGTAGATGGTTTGTGTAGTTGAGTTGTAATGTAACATTGACCACTTTGATTATTTTTGTTGATCACTAGGGTTAATGAATGAGAGAAAGCGACAGGGGGTTCTCATATTTAGGGGGAGACCTAAGTAGAAATACACTGAGGGTAGAATTAAGAATATGGGAATTGAAAAAGGGGTTTGTTCATTTAAGACACTTTGTACTAATTCTATTAAAGAGTGGATTTCCTTTCTTAGGTAGAGTGCCCTCCAGAAGTAGGTGTTATTTGCATTGAACTGGGTTAAAAATTCACTTGTGTTCTTTATTGTTTTTTTTCCTTTAATTATGTATTTGTGTTAAATCTGGTTTAACAAGTTGGATAAGTTGTCTCAGATATCTGGTCTAACATTTGTCCCCTGAGAAAAATAAATTCAAGCTACACCTTTGACCACCAATAAGTTGGACTACCATTAACTAGAATGGATAAATAACTATTGAAAACACATGATTCCATCAAGTTTAAGAAGTTGTTTCCAAAGCCCATGCGACACATTATGTCTCTAAGAAAGTTCTATCATACATTATCATAAGCTTTTTCGAAATCAAGATTGAATAGTAAGAATTATTTCCTATTCCTTTTAGCGAAATCAATCAGTTTGTTAATGATCAAAACCCTATCCTACATATGTCTCTAAAGGATGAAAGCAGGTTGGCTATTAGATATCAGCTTCCCACCACTCTTCTCAACCTAGCAACCAATAACTTGTATATTATCTTATAAAGGAAAATCACTAAATATATGGGCATAACTTCCCATATCTTTTGCGGATTGTCACGTTTTGGAATTAGGTCAGGAAATATTTGTTACAGCTTTCGGTAGTATGACATTAAAATGAAAATAATTTACGAAATTATTGATATCTTTTCCTACAAATCCCTAACATTTATTTAAAAAGCCAAGGTTGAAAATGTTTGGGACCAGACTCTTTTCCCCGTCACCGAGCCAAATGACTTCTTTTATTTCCTCTACTGAGAAAGGAGGTTCTAAAAAAAATTATCTTCTTCTGATAAGTGCTTATAAATCACCCATTCTAGGTTTGGTCTTAATAAACCTGATTACTGGAATCTCTCCTAAAAATGTTACAAGACTACCTATTTAACTTCAACAACCTCTTTAACCTACCATGTGATCATTTTCAAACCATGAATGG